ACAAAATTATTCGCTAATAAATCTAATTCGTTAGTATTAGCCTATTCATTCTGATCCACATAAAATAATAAAAATTTGTTATCATCAATTAAAATACGCTCTCCCAAAAATAATTGGTGACAATACAGCAACATAGCCTTTTGTTATTAGACATTTTATATAAATTTAAAATTTTAAAATTTAAATTGATTATTTATTTGTCACACAATTTTTAGTGTAAAAATGATATTGTATTTAGAAAAAGTGAAAATGAAGAATTTTACAAAAAAATAAAAAATAAAGAAAAAATATTGAATAAAAAAGAAAAGGGGTCAGCACCCATCCAATCCAAAATCACTAAGAAAAATATAAATATATTAATTATAATAAAAAAATGTTGAATCAAAAAAGACATTCACACCAAAAACAAATATATAAAAAGCCCAAACCCAAAATGACAAGAAAAATATATTAAATAATAATAAAAAATCCTGAATCAAAATCAAGTTGGCACCCAGCCAAACCCAAAATGACCAAGATGAATATATTAAATAATAATAATAAAATTCTTGAATCAAAAACAAGCTGGCACTCAGCCAAACCAAAAATAATTAATTATATAAAAAACCAAACCCAAAACAACCAAGAAGAATATATAAAAAAATCTTGAATCAAAAACAGGCTGGCACCCAGCCAAACCTGAAATCACCAAGAAAAATTGATTCACAATAAAAAAGCTAGCACCTAACAAAACCCAAATGACCAAAAAATATATTATTAATAATAATAAAAATAATGTTCAAATAAATTATGAAAAAATAAAATATTTTTTTCTTTTTCTTGAAGATAAAAAATTTTTAAAATATAATAAATATTATTATTTGATATGTTAAAAGTTTTATTATTGTTGTTGTTGCTTTAGAATATGTGGAGGGTTGAAATTATCTTTGAATGGTGGAGCTACTTTTTCATTTGAACAATTCTGACTGTAGTGTCCATCTTGATAGCATTTTAAACAAGCATTATGATATTCATCCTTAATATTGGGACAATTGAAGATATTGTGACCATAGTATCGACATCTATAACACAATGTTTCACATTGACTACTTTTCCATGGTGTGTTGGTTTGAGAAATTTTGACATTGTTTGCAGATTCTAAACCTGCTGCAATAGCAGCATTGGTATGATCATCAGTATTAGTAGGTGTAGATCTAGCATTAGTGTTAGTGATATTCAATAATATTGTTAGTGTATTTTCCTGCAAACTTAATAGTCTATTATTCATGTTGGATATGTCTCTAACTAATTCTCTATTTTGAGTTGTAGTATCCATTAACATGGTCATAAAATCATCCATTATTCTGTTAATGCTATTATTTTCATTACTATTATCTTCACCATTATTATTATTTAATTGCATTTTGTATATAATATGTGAGAGAGTTTGCTTGTTGATGATTGAATATTAAATGATCAATTACTATTATTATTATTAGTTATTATTTTTATTAGTTATTATTGTTGTTGTTATTGTTAATTATTATTAATTATTATTATTTACATTACCTTGTAACAATTTTAAATATTATGAATATATATCTTGCGTTGTTGTTTTTTAAAGTTTCTTTTTAAAAATAATGAATGATTTCTATGTTGATGGTTAATGATTTTAAATATTATGAATATATACCTTGCGTTGTTGTTTTTTAAATTTTCTTTTTAAAAATAATGAATGATTTCTATGTTGATAGTTGAATATTAAATGATCAATTACTATTATTATGATTAGTTATTATTTTTATTAGTTATTATTGTTGTTGTTATTGTTAATTATTATTAATTATTATTATCATTAATTATTATTATTTACATTACCTTGCAATGATTTTAAATATTACAAATATATACTTCATGTTGTTGTTTTTTAAAATTTCTTTTTAAAAATAATGAAAAAATAATATATATTGTATCATTACCTTTTTAATTATTTTTGAAATGAAAATATTATAATCTTGCTTTCCTACTATAGTGTTACTAATGTTGATTTATATTAAATGATTGATCAATTACTATTATTATTATCAGTTATTATTGTTATTAGTTGTTATTGTTAATTATTATTATCATTAACTATTATTATTTACATTACCTTGCAACGATTTAAATATTACAAATATATACTTCACATTGTTGTTTTTTAAAATTTATTTTTAAAAACAATGAATGATTTCTATGTTGATGGTTGAATGATTGATCAATTACTATTATTACTATTAGTTATTATTGTTATTAGTTGTTATTGTTAATTATTATTAATTATTATTATCATTAATTATTATTATTTACATTATCTTGTAACGATTTTAAATATTACTTCGCATTGTTGTTTTTTAAAATTTATTTTTAAAAACAATGAATGATTTCTAACTGGTTGATCATCTGTTGATTAAAATTCCCAAATTTCGTTGTCATAACAAAATTCATTTAATAAAATAAAATACAATGTCTACAGTAAAACTTAGTTCAATCAATCAACGCCTTACAAGGTTGTTAGAGGAACGCGAAAAAGAATTGTCAATAATTGTGAGTTTATACATTGATAACTTGTAAAGTTTTTTTTTGCTTTTTACTAATTTTTATCTTTACTTTATATCATAAATATAAGAAACAAAACCAATTGCCTATTTATAAGCCAAAAAATCCAGAAGGTTGTTAGTTGCAGATGTGTGTAGAATCTTCAACATCACAAAAGGACAATATAAAAGTTATCAAGTAATAAATAATATAAATATATAAATGCAATACTATTTGAGTATTATTTAATTCAAGTTTACTCCCTAATATAGGAGCAAATTCGATTCTTAATAAATATGAAAAAATCAACATTAGTAACATTAGTAGGAGAGCAAGATCGTAATATTTTCATTTCAAAAATAATTAAAAGGGTAATAATATAATATATATTATTTTTTTAATATCACCCACAATTCAGTGTATAATACAATTTTCTTTTTAATCTATAGTTTTATAAAAAAATCCTGACACATATTGTGGTGATGGAGATTGGCTCCTGAAATTGTTGATCAAAAAAAATATTCAGAACCATAGTAAGAAGATTATTAATTGTAATTTTGTTTAAAACTTTATAATTATTCATTATTTTTTTGTACAAATAAAAGAGGACTACATCAAGAAAAAGATCAAAAAAAAAATGATTATTAACCGTGGTAATAATCATGATAATAATATTATTATCAGTAGTAGTAATCATAATGATGATGAAAGTAAGATAATAATAAAATGATTTTAAATATTTATGGAATATATTTGAAAATTATATAACATTAATTTTTTATAATTGAAGACAATCCTAACAATAATAGAAATCAAAAAGTCCTGGTCCATGTAACAACTACCACCATCAATAATAATAAAAATCATGGCTGCGTAACCACCATCAATAATAGTAATAATATCTATTCCCATGTAACCACCAGGAATAATAATAATATTGTCAGCAATAGTGAAAATTATAATAATGATGATGATTATGAAAGTTTCACTGAAAGTTCCATCTCCACTAATGGTAATGATAAAAAACAAGCTATTCATACAACCACCAATAACAATATTATTGACAGCAGTGACAATGATACTGATACTGATGATACTTATGATAATGATAGTGATACTGATGAAGATTTCACCAAGAATAATAATAATAAGAATCATGTCCATGTAGCCACAAAGAATAATAATATTGTCAGCAATAGTAAAAATTATAACAATGATAAAGCAAATAATCATCATATAGTATCTAGTGATGAAGGTTTCACTAAAAGTCACATATCCACCAATGGTAATAATAAAAAACAAGCTATTCATACAACCACCATCAATAACAATACTACTGACAGCAGTGACAATGATACTGATACTGATGAATGTTCCACCAAGAGTCCTGTCCATGTAACCACCAAGAAGAAGAATAATAAGAGTCATGCCCATATAATCATCAGAAATAATAATAATGTCAGTAATAGTAAAAATCATAACAATGATTATGATAAAGAAAATAATCATTATATGGTATCTGGTAATGATGATGGTAACAAAGGTTTTACCAAAAATCCCTCCACCAATGATAATAATAAAAAACAACATATTCATACAGCTACCACCAATAACAATACTATTATTAGTAATAGTAAGGATCATGATGATAAAGAGAATAATAATAATGAAACTGCTGTCAATCATGATGATGATAATGATACTAATGAAGATTCCACTAATAACAGTAACAGTAATAACAATAAAAGTCATGCCCATGTAACCATCAGGAATAATAATAAGAATTGTGCCCGCATAACCACTAGGAATAATAATACCACCACAGTTGTCAATAATAGTAAGAAATTTTTAATTTTTAGTTTTTTTATTCCATTTCTACAAATTATTTATTTTATTATAAAATTTATACAATCAAACAGTTAAAAAAAAGAAGCAAGATATTATTAAAACTAGTATGGAAACTAGATCAAAGTCCAAAAAATAACTATAAGAAATTAGATATATTACAATTACACTGATCACTAAAATATTGTTATATTTTTATCAATAAAGTCAATTAAAATAAGACAAGTTAATCAGTAAATTTCAACTAGTGATAACCAGAAATTTCATATTCAATTTTATACCTCATTTCATATGAATCATAATCATAACCATCATCAGAATCACTAGAACTACCATTAGAACCAAGATTATTGTCATCTAAATTATCTTTTGAAAACAGATAAATATATTAGCAAATTCCTTCTCCTCCAAATACCATCATAAATATTAATTCCTGTTTCATCATTATCCTCAACTTCCATTTGATTTACTTAAACAATTGATACAACAACATAGCCTTTTGTTATTAGACATTTTATTTGAATTTAAAATGATAATTATATTTAAACAAATTTTTATTTAAAATTTATGATTTTGTACAGCTGCATCCATAAATACAATTATAAAATTTTTCGTAATTAAATAATATATATATATTATATATATGTATGTATACACTGATTTTTTTAACTGATTTTTAACTGGTTGAAAATTTTTTATGATCATCTGTTAATAATAAAACCCGTTGTCGTGAACATTATTATTGTTATTATTATTAGTTATTATTATTTATTAGTTATTAGATGTAATTGTCCTAATATCAAAGAAGAGTACCGACTGGAAGGCATATTTAAAATTTTATCAAGATAGTAATTATAGTCAAGATATTCAAAAAGAAAAGTTAATTCCACCATTCAAATTTCAACTTTCATCATTCTAAAGCAACAACAATCAAAGGAATATTTATTTACTATTATTAAATATATAATATATATTATTATTATATATTATTATTAATTTATTTTCTTGGTGGTTTTGGCTGGGTGTCAGTTTTTTGATTGTGTTGGCTGGGTGCCAACTTTATTTATATATTATTGGTTATTTTGGTTTTGATTTTTATATATTATTATACAACATAAGTTTTCCTTTAACAATTTTTATATAGAATTCATTGTATCAAATCAGCAATAACAATAATAATTCACAGTAATGAATAATAATAACTGATAATAATAGTAATAAATAATAATAATAGTTTCATCAATATACCACAAGATTATTAATGGACAGGAAAACTATCAATAATTGTGAGTTATACATCATAACTTGTAATGTTTTTTTACTTTTTACTAAAATTTATCTTTATTTTATATTATAATTATAAGAAACAAAGCCAATCACCTATTTATAAGCCAGAAAATTCTAGAAGCTTAATAGTTGCAAACATGTAAAATATTCAATGTCACAAAAAGACAATATAAAAGTTATCAGGTAATAAATACAAGTACAAGTACTATTTGAGTATTATTTTAATTCAAACTTGCCTAATTAATATAGTAGCAAATTTGGTTCTTAGTAAATATGAGAAAATCAACATTAATAGGAAAGCAAAATTATATTAGTTTTATTTCAAAAATAATTAAAAGGGTGACAATATAATATATATTATTTTTTTTTAATATAATCTATAAACTATATTTTAACTTCTCTTGAATGTTACACAGTCCTGTCTATGTTTTTTAATGTTACCCACAAACATAATTCAATTCTATTTGTCTTTTTTCTAATATTTCATATTATTAATAGTAATTTTTTTTAATCTATAGTTTTATAGAGATTGGCTCCTGAAGTTGTTGGTCAAACAAAATATTCAGAACTATAGTAAGAAGATTATTATTTTTTATTTTTTTTTGTATAAATAAAAGAGAACCACAAAAAAATGATTATTAACTACAACAATAATAATAATTGTGATAACAATGATGAATATGATAATTATGACATTGTGTATGAAAGTAAGAGAATAATAATATGATTTTAAATATTTGTGAAATATATTTGAAAGTTACATAACATTAATTTTATATATATTATTAATGAAGACAATCATACCAATAATAGAAACCAAAAAGTCCCGCTCCGCGTAACCACCACTGCCAATAATAATGAGTCATGCCTGCGTAACTACCATGCCTAGGAATAATATTATTATTATCTTTTTGTTATGGCAACAATGAAATTTGGGAATTTTAATTATTTAATTATCAATAGATGATCAACCAGTTAGAAATCATTTAAAAAATGATGACATGAGGTATATATTCATAATATTTAAAATCATTACAAGGTAATGTAAATAATAATAATTAATAATAACAACTAATAACAATAATAACTAATAATAATAATAGTAATTGATCATTTAATATTCAATCATCAACAAGCAAACTCTCTCACATATTATATACAAAATGCAATTAAATAATAATAATGGTGAAGATAATAGTAATGAAAATAATAGCATTAACAGAGTAATGGATGATTTTATGACCATGTTAATGGTCACTACAACCCAAAATATGCTAACAATATTATTGAATATCACTAACACTAATGCTAGATCTACATCTACATCTACTAATACTAATGATCACACTAGTCTGCCTATTGCAGCATGCTTAGAATCTGCAAACAACATCAAAGTTTCTCAAATAATAGTAATAGTAAGAAAATTTTAATTTATTATTTGGAAATTCATTTCTACAAATTATTTATTTTATGAATAAAATTTATAGGGAAAATTTATATAAAAAAAGAAAGATCAAAAAATAAGTGTAGGAAATTAAATTATTCATTGTTAATTATTATTATGAATTTGAACAATAATTATACTGACTGATTCTTCATTTCTATTAAATATTGTTGGTGACTTCATTAATATTGCATATTTTTTTTGTTGGAGGTTTTTTTTGAGATATTTTATTCCAATTATTTAATTACAAAAGATTTTATAACTGTATTCATGAATGCAACTGTTTTTTTTGTGCATACATTTATGTTTACATATATTATATTAATAAAATAAAATTACAATTAAAATAGACATGTATGTTGCTCAGTAAATTCAAAATTCAAAATTCAAAATTGTACCCAATCCCATACTAATTATATACCAATTCACATTAATATTAATTAATATACCAATTCATATACAATTCCGTACAAATTCATATACAATCCCATACAAATTCATATACAATTCTGTACTAATTCTGTAATGATTTTCCGTGCATTTTCCGATTTTTCATGACATATTCCGTGCATATTCTGTGCATTTTCCCAACATTTTCCCAACATTTTCCTTGATTTTATGTACAGAAAAGCGCTCTTTTATGGCAAAATTCCGTTCCTTTTCTGGGTAGCAATTATAATGGAATTACCTGTGCATTTTCCGTACATTTTCCGTGCATTTTCCGTGCATAATTTTTTATAGGGCATGAAAATGAAATTATGTGAATTCGCAATTCACATATGTGAAATTCAAATTAGCCAATCACCCCACTCCATAATATTTCAATTTCACATAATTTCAATTTCACACACAACAGCCACAAACCCTGCTTTGAATTGTGACCTCATGTGCTTGAACAAGCTGCAGATTCTCTTAATATTCCTCCAGAGTTGCAACTTGGTCACAGAGCCATCCTTACCCTAGAGGTGGGACCGTTGCAGGTGACTTTTCAGCCAACATGGCAGCAGCCATCTCTGGTCTGGGAAAATTAGTAAAAGTGTCATTGACAATTGATGCAGTCTTGATAAATTCCAGAGCAGAGCAACCCCCCTGGAATTCAGTAACATTGTTGTATCATCGAGGGATGCAAGTCAGATTAGCCTTATGCACACGAGGAAGATGTGTGAATGACTGTAAGTGTTCAAGGTAGTGCGCATGCTTCAATGTCTCTAAAAATTTCCAATAATCAAACGTTACATACTCGAAATGTTTCATATTCAACAGTGTGCTGCCTTGACATCTTGTAATTATATATTAATAATAGTATTATTATTATTTACAATTACGCAAAGCAAAATATTATCAATGAAAATCTTGTGATTACCCAGCAAGATCTGCTCTGTGTTTTGATTTCCAATTAAAATATTTATAGGCTAAAATAAAAATATCAATTGATACAAATAAAAAAAAAGTACCTCTAGTTAGTTATTAACACGTTTTCTTTAGGAGACCCAAACCAAACCAAACCAAACAACAACACTCATGTTTTGTCACTTTGGACACTGTCAAAAAATAAATGTTTTTCCAAAAAAAAAATCAATCAATTCACGTCTGTCCTCCCAAAAAAAAAACCAATAAGATAAATAATTAATGTGTACACATCAATCAAATAACAAACTTCTTTTTTAAAAATATTTTTTTATAATGTCATCAAAAAAAGATACAAAAAGAAGAAGACAAGAAAAAGACAAAGAACAACACAAGTAAGTGTTTTAAGAATAAGGATGGTGGTGGTGGTTATCACCCACCACTCATTGTTACTCTAGTTCTAGTTAGAAATCATTCAAATTTCACATAATTATTATAACTGTTATTGAATTCATTTTAATCTAATAACTCTTCTGATACTGTTGATGATGAAACTATTACTGTTGGTATGTTTATGATATAATCATTTTATTTGTTTTATTTGTTTTATTTGTTTTATTTGTTTTATTTCATTTTGTTTGTTTTATTTGTTTTTATTTGTTTTATTTTGTTTTATTTGTTTTATTTGTTTATTTGTTTTATTTGTTTTATTTGTTTTATTTGTTTTATTTGTTTTATTTGTTTTCTTTAATTTTTGTTGACCAACTGAATTTGTTGTTTTTTTAAATGGGAACTTTTTCCCATATAACCTCCCACTCTAGGTTAAAAGAGTGTAGTTCAATGACATGTATCTTACAAGTATAAAGGTGGCAGTTTGATTCTGCCCACTCCTATTGTGATAGTCACCATGATCACTGGCATCAAGGAGAAAGCTGTAAAATAAAATGGTTTGGATTTTGTTTGGTATGTTATAAATTAATCATTTTCCCAAATGTTCTGCTTCTTTTTAATTTTTATTTGATCAACTGAACTTGTTATTTAAATAAATGGGGTATGGTTGTTGGTGAGTAGGCATGCCACTGACAAGACAGGTGATGCCTTTGAGATATACCAGCCAAACTCATAGAAAGGGATCTTTTGTCCAGACTTAGGGTCACATGGATGTTAAGCACAGAAAATGTACACTATCAATGTATATTTTTTTCAACAAAATAAACATTTAAACAATTAATTGTTAAATATTAATACTTTTCTTTTCATAAAAATTACAGCAACCCAGGATTCAAAACTGTGAATTCAGGGAAAATCCAAAACAGCAACTCAGGTTGCAACCTTCTGAGTTGCAGAAATTTCAACCAGTTGCAGACACCAACTTTGTATTGGAGAGGTATAACACAAAGCAATCATCACACAAATGTCAGCTATCAGTGATCAATTCCCATATGATAACAGCCAAGCCTGGTCTGAGGAGAAGATAAATATGTTTTGTCCAAAGCCTTCTAACATGTGTGCAGCGCACCTGTGGAGAAAATTCTACAGTTATGGGGCATGTGAAAGCATGGTTATTGCATGTTTGTGACAGGAAAGTTTTAATTAAATCTGACACATGCAATCAACATCAGATTTATTATTCATGAGCAACCATAATTGATAATCAGGAAAAGTAATTTATTTTGTGAACCCCAGAGATCTGGGTAGACATGCATTATTAAAGTTTCATTTATGCATAGCCTTGTTATTATTACTACCTGAGTGATGCAATTGTTTGTTATGTCAATGATGATATCAAATGTATTGAATAATAATCATGACCATCATGAATATTTGATGGATGGAGGCATTCACATACAAGGAAATGATTAAATAGCTAAGTCATGCAATTTTTTTATTGTATATTTTAAATATAATTAATTACATATCTTTAATAAAACAAACATGACTTAGCTATTTAATCATTTCCTTGAATGTGAATGCCTTCATCCATCAAATCTTCATGAAAACATATTAACTGTTGATTTTTGTTTTATCTTAAATAATAAATATAGGATGTAAGTATTCTCATCATTTTACTATTGTTGCAGTCAATATCATTGTTTTTTTTTCAAAAACATACTAACTGTTGATTTTCATTTTATTTTAAAAAATGGGTAGTTGGTAGTATATTCATCATCATTATATTACAGTCTATCATTGTTTTTGAAAACATATTAACTATTGATTTTTGTTTTATCTTAAATAATAAATATAGAATGTAAGTATTTTCATCATTTATTATATGGGGCATACTGCAACAAAACCAGACAAAGTGAACATTGGTATTACCAAGAATTTCAGGGATCAAAATTTAGTCAATTATAATGTGATTATATAATTAACAGTTTTATAATATCACCATTTGTTATCTTAAGTGATATATAGTACTACTCCTATATAAAAATGGATAAGATAAATTATCTTATTGATCAGCTAAAACAGATAAACAAATAAATAAAAGATAATTATTGATAATACTAAAACGTTAAAACAGATTTTTTTATCTTAGAATTAATGCACAATGTAATCTTCTGAGATTTTTGCTGAATGTATCATTTGATCTAATAAAATCTAATTGAAATGTACTAAAAAAAATTTTTAAAATATATAAATATGGTAGATTTTGGACTGAGTTTGATGTATCAAAAAAATAATTATTATAAATAAAAAAACCATTTAATAATATTAATTCAACTAAACCTTTTTTAAAAAAGCCATCTAAACTGACTATCACTTGTGTGATTGATTCAATCATTAGACTAAAAAACAACAATTTCAGAATTATTGAAATTATTGCCATTACAAAGATGAAATAAAATAATAATTTTTTAAATATAATTAATTATACATCTTTAATAAAACAAACATGACTTAGCTATTTAATCATTTCCTTTTATGTGAATGCCTCCATCCATCAAATCTTCATGATGGTCATGATTATTCTTCAATACATTTGATATCGTCATTGACATAACAAACAATTGCATCACCCAAGTAGTAATAACACCAAGGCCATGCATAAATGAAACTTTTAATAATGCGTGTCTACCCAGATCTCTGGGGTTCACAAGAATAAATAAATAGGGAGGTTCAAAAATAATTTTTTCCTTCACCATTCTAAAGTTCCTTAAAAAACCATGAATAATAAATCTGATGTTGATTGCAGGTGTCAGATTTAATTAAAAAATTTCCTATCACAAACAAATGGTCAGGTGCTTTCACACTCTTCATAACTGTAGAATTTATTTATTCCACAGGTGAAGGTACCCATAGCTGGAAGGCTTTGGACAAAACATTCCCTTATCTTCCCCTCAGACCAGGCTTGGTTGTTACCATAAGACTCCCTCTGGAGTAAAGTTGGTGTCTTTGGTGTCTGCAATTTAGAAGGTTACAACATAAGTTGCTGTTTTGGATTTTCCCTGAATTCAGAGTTGAGTCCTGGGTTGTGTCTTGTTGGTGGTACATCTGCTCACCAACAACCTACCCCCATTTAAAAAACAAATTCAATTGGTCAAATAAAAATTAAAGAAACAGAGTATTTGGGAAAATGATTAATTTATATAATATACCAAACAAAATCCAAACCATTTTATAACTTTTTTCTTGTTGGTCACATTGCTAGCAAAGATGTATATAATCATACAATAATTTTAACCTACAGGACAGAGGACTGATTGGGCAAAAACCCATATAGTCCCCTACCCAAAATTATAAATTTGTTAGTTAATATTAGAGAAACAGAGCGTTTAGGAAAGTGATTATACAAAACAAACACTATTTTACAACTTCCCCCTTAACATCAGAGTCCAAATGCAATTTCAGGGGCACACAACCCTGCTCTGAACTGCGACCTCCTGTGCTTGAAACATAGTTGCAGGTTCTTGTTGCTTTGATAGATCTGGATATTTACATGGCACTACAATTCATCAGCAGAGTTGCAACTTGGTCACAGTGCCATCCTTGCCCTAGAGGTAGGATTGTTGCAGGCAACTTCGGCCAGCGTGCCAGCAGCCTTCTCTGGTCTGGGTGCTGTGAGGGAAGATTAGTGAAAGTGTCATTGACGTTGGTGCAGTCTTGGTAAATTCCAGGACCATGCCACCCCCATCTGGAATTTGGTAGCATCGTTGTATCCTTGGGCGTCGCAGGTCGGATTAGCCTTGTGCACATGAGGAATGTGTGAGAATGACTGTAAAGTGTTCAAGGTAGCGTGCATGCTTCAACACTTGTAAATTTTCCTGTAATCAAACGTTCATATCAAATGTTTCATATTTGAATTGTGACTTTTTCAATGGTTTGCTGCCTTGACATCTTCTTGTAATTATATAATAATATATTAATATTATTAATATTATTGATTACGCAAAGTAAAACATTATCAATGAAAATCTTGTAATTACCCAACAATGATCTGCTCTGCGTTTTGATTTCAAATTAAAATATTATATACTAAAAAAGATACCATATTATATCAATACAAATAAAAAAAAGTACCTCTGGTTAGTTATTAACATGTTTTCTTTAGGAGGCCAAACCAAACCATAAACCAAACAACACTCACGTTTTGTCATCTTTGAAAAGTAAATTGTTTTTTAAAAAAAAAAATCAATTCGCGTCTGTCCTACCAAAAAAATAACCAATAGTAATAGGATAAATAATTAATGTACACGTTTGTCAAACTTCTTTTTTTTCTTTTCAAAAAAAATATGTCTAGAACGGAAAAACAAAAAAACAAGCGAAGACAACAAATCAATGCTGATGAGGCTGTTGCTAAGTAAGTGTTTTAAGAATGGTGGTGGTGGTTATCGCCCGCCACTTGTTGTCACTCTAGTTTCTATATAAGATTGGCCTAGTCAGTTGTTTAACTTTGATTTTTTCAATGCACTATTTGCATTTAC